TTCCGTGGAACAATTTTCGCAGTTCATCGAGGGGTGAATTAATATTTTCGTTATGACGGTCGAGGGCCTCTCTGGGATCGTGGCCTGTTTGGTTTGTAGTAATAAAATTTGTGACGGTTTCCGTCGCTCATATGCATAATCGACGCGAATCGCTTTTACCGTGGCCGGTCGCGTTAACGACGCTTGACGACGCGTAAAATCAGGGGTGATAATTTGGAATTAACCGAATTAGTATGTTACGGCTTTGTAATTGCGTTACAACGGATCGGCTGTGTGCGCTTGCGCTCTCGTGTAAACTCGATAAAAGAAAGTGTTTGTGAACTCGGCCGATCGACCAGCCGGATTGTACCATTTGAAAACGCGGCTTTACGCGGTCGTTTCGTTGTGGCCGCTGTTATAAATTTAATTATCTCATTAACCCGTACGTTCAATCACCGTTTTATTTTAACACGCCCATTCGGAACGTTCGATTCGATGGCGCGTGGATTCTACCGTCCACCAATGGGACTTTCATGGAACTTAAATATCCGTCGAAGGTAATCGAATTTCGGGGACAACTTGTTAGGCGATCTGTGAATCTCCGGTGCAGAACCCTTAACGAGAGTTTGAGAAATGTTACATCCGTCCAGGGTCAATCGAGGGTGAACCGTTTCATCTTAAACAGATGTCGATCTGTAACACTCAAGTTCTGATCCTTCGTTTCTGGGAATCTGTGACTAATCCAAACTTTCTGTGAACCTTGAGAACTTCTGCTGCTGAAACGGTTCAATGACATACAGTAATTCGATGCGTAGCGGGGAACAAGATGAGTTTCGCTAGGGAAAATGGCGAGATAGGAGAAACCACTTGTTCATTTTCGGTCGACAAATCGAGTTTAAAAACTTTCAAACATTGATTTGGAAATTTGAATTTCGTGAGATTATAAATTTGTAAAGTTGAGAATTTTCCAGTTTGAAAATTTGGGGACCTCAAGATTTGAAAATTTGTACTTTCGAAAATTTGAAAATTTGTAGATTCAGAAATTTATAAATGTAGAAATTGTATGGATTTTGAAATTTAGAAAATTGTGATGGTTCTGTGCTTTGCAGCAGATTTGAAAATTTGTGAATTTAAGTTCTTACGAATTTGAAGAAACTAAAACCTGGAATTAAAATTAATAACTACTTAAATAAAACATAAATAAAATTTCTTTGTTTGACTAGACTTAATAAAAAATTACAGTTTGAGTCTTGATTAGGAGTAGCAGTCAGAGGCAATAATTAAAATAACATTGAAGATTATAATAATTAAAATCTTTGATCGATTTGGGTTACAGATTAAACTCCTATTTCCAGTTAGAAAATTATTCAATTAGCAGTTACAATTTAATTCTCAATTAAAGGGAATCCAATTACGAATAAAGCGTTAATCGTTAATTAGTTTCCAATTAGATTAAAAACTCAATTAATTATGTGAAACCATTATAAGGATATATGTAATTAATTTTCAAATTTAAGCTTTTAATTAATGATTTGATAGTATAACTATAATAATAACAAAAATAATAATAGTAAATTTAAACAGTTTCACAACAATTTTCTTCTAATTTACTCGAAGTTCAATGGAACTATATTTTTAGTTGCATAGTTCTCAGTTGTACATTAGATATGACAGAAGCACTGATTTATTTTCAATATTTTTAAAACTTCAACAATTTTTGAATCCTACATAAAATCAAGTTTTCGTAAGCTCCTAAATTTATTAAATATGATATTAGAATGAAAGTATCGATGTATTTTCCAACCAAAGCATCGGACATCGAAGCAAATGAATAAATTTAACAAACGATTAAACATTCATTTAATCCGATACGCATAACACAGACAAATCTCCCAGAATTTTGTTTAGATGGCGAAAAGAAATACCTACGGGTTGTGCTCGAGCCATTGTTGCCCGGTGCAAAAAGTCAAACAAATTAATTTCAATTGCAGACCGCGGTCCGGTCCGTCTCCTAGCAACGGAACGTTAGCGGAAAACGCGTATGCGTTGGTCGAATACAAATTGGCGCGGCAAACGACTTTCCAGCAAATTGTAACCGACGAGAGCTCGAATAAAACGAGGTTGCAGGTGAAAAAAGGGAGAAACTAAATAAAACGCGAAAGAATTCTAAAAGGATTTAATATTCGATGCGTCGTACGTTAAGCAAGCAAACAAGCACCGTGCTGTGAACGAGTATCCCGCAAACGAGAAGAGTTGGCGCGATAATTGAAACGGGAAGATCCTTCGACACCTCCTTTAATCAAGCACGCTCAAAAGAATCCCTGGCACCTCGTTCGAGGACGCGTTCAAAATTCACGAAACCGATTCTTATTCCTGTAAGAAGAGAGAGAGAGGTCTGGTTCCAGTCACTCGGTTACAAGCTTCTCAGCCGAGGCGTTAAGTGTTCCCTGGTCGTCCTTTGATGTCGAACAATCGGCAAAGCGCGGATGATCGTAGGCGTGGAATTCGGCGCCCGACGAGTGACCACTCGTGGAATCGCGACGAGTGTCTACCAAAAGCAAAGGGAAACACTCTTTCCGCGTCGTTTGGTCGTTTCAGCAGGTGATCGCTATCCCCAACAGCGAGGGACACGAGGGGTGGGTCGTGGGGCTGAGATCGCGCGGATCGAGCTGCAAGACGGAAGACGAGGTATAAAGGGAGAAACGGGGGTGGAAAACAATTAAGGGAAGGCGAGGAGAGGGCCGCCTTGTATGATAATGCGTTGTAACCTCCGGCAGAGGAGAACGATACGCTGAAGGAGGAGGTGGAGACGATGATGGAGGTGGAGGAGCAGGTTGCCGAGGATGAGGCCGGATGAAGCGAGGAATGGAGGGGTAGCCGCGAGAAGGGGGTTGGCGGAGGTCGTGGTTCTTACTTTGCATTCCTTTGTGTGTCCTCCTGAGCCCTCCATCTCTACCCTCCCAGCCATCCTCCTCCTACTTCTCCCTCTTGAAGCTTGAACTAACGCCCGAGGTTTTAATGCACTTGTCTACTCCACATACCGTTCATAAAGACATATATGCCGTCTGTTGAACGAGTGGGCAGGAGGACTGATTCTTGGAAAGAGAAGCGAGACAGAGAGAAACGATGGAGGAGGGTTTCGGCGAAGAGAAAGAGGGAGGAAAATGGGGAGACGGGCCGCGTGCGATGGTACGAAGAAGCGAGAGACGGTGCCCGGCAAAAGAAGAGCCGCGAGAAAGAGAACGGGAAAGCGTAACGATATGAAATGCATTTTAAATTCTAAGCATTCGCTCGCGTCGTGGAAAGACCTCGGTTCTTTGCTTGCATAATCCTGCCGGTGATGTACAAAAGTTGAAAAAGAACGACCAAACGCAGCCAGGGAGAGGAATTCAAATGCACTGGTCGAATCAGACCTTTGCCGAATGCCTTCAGGTAGGATGCGAATACGAAACTTGCACCCGGCATTGTCTTTAACACGATGACTACCCTTCGGGATCATTCGTGACACCATCAATTTAACCCTTTGTATTCTAAAAGAGCTTCTCGCTCGCCATTTGATTTAGTAGGGTCACTTGAAATGTATGAACATTCCCTTTTTACATTATAGTCTGTATTCTATGGTAGTCACCTACTACTCGTCTTTATTCTTTCTTCACCGCACTTGGTACATAGTAACATAGGAAATGTCTCTTTATTGCTATTTTCAAGTAATAACTTCAAATTTTAAAAATGTATTTCTTTATAAAATTGAGAAAGTCGTGTAACGAAGGGTTTGAATAGGATGACAAGAAAGTAAGATGTATTAATGTTCTTTAGATACACCTGCAATTATTTATTATGTAATTATTTAAATCAAATGTTTACACGTATATATTGCAACAGAAATTAGCAGTGAAGACGATGATAAATAAAAATAAGATCATTTTTTAAAAATTCATAAATTCAGAAGGAAAATTTAAGTTATTTCTTATTGGGATGTGACATTCTTCATCATGACATCTGGTGGCAAAAGGTAAAAACACTTGTGGCACACCAGTTCTCTGTATAAGGTAGTTGCAAGAAACGATACTAAATTAAAATCTTAAATTTAACAGTTACAATTTTGATAGAAGTTTTGAAATTATCAGACAACGGCGCAGATAAGGTTATTTATATATTTCAAAGAGTCTTCCAAATCTGTAGAATGATAGATGTCTTCTAATTCAGATGTCTTCTAACTCTGATGCCTTAAATAAATGGTACTCATATTTATTTTATGTATTTCTATTTCAGTGGTACCGATAGTATTGATCAATTTCAATAGTATGTTTAACGAAATTATCGCAGTATGGAAATACTTTGAGGTTTCTATACAAACAGTGTTAATATGGAAAATTTATATGTATTCCTAAAGATAAGACAGAATGTATGTTCTGAAAGTTGTCACCGTTTTGGAGCGGTACTAATTAGCAATATAACTGTATCATCATGATATAACGTGTGGCACTATAGTGAGTGATTGTATAATGCGTTGTAGTATAATAAGTGGCGATATAGTGCATGGTTTTTGCTACGCATAACCACATAACATGTGATTATATAACTCGTAGCTATACAATGGGCTGCAATACAAGATGTAGCTGTATAACAGGCTGTAATACAACGCGTAGCTATTCACCGGGCTGTAATATAACATGTAGTTATACAACGGGCAATTATACAGTTTTGACTACATAATTTTTGCTACTATAACGTGATGTAACATGATCATGAAGACTATTCATTAATATTTCAAAACAGTCCAGTAAATTCATGATTTCCTCGAAAAAGATTTTGCCTTAATGGTTTCCTCTCATTGTCAGCTAAGAGACAATATCAACCTATTTAGATTTGAAAGCAACCACACGTGTTGCGTGTCTCGTTCCATGTATCAATGTAAATGATATTCTTTCATCTCAGCCATCAGTACGCATGCACCAGTCTTACGTTTTTTGATTTAATACTCAATTTCAAATAAAAAGATAATTTGTATACCAACTTACCTTTTGTGTCCCGGTGTCTGCGCATCAACCAGCTCTCTTTTACGACGTCATTCGTTAATCTGGAAATCGAAAGTAAGAACAATTAGAAAAACTCGTATTACCGTTTTCGATTCAAACGCATTTCATTTTCGTATCGTACTTGCGCAAAATCTGTTTAACGTTTAATTGGATGCAACAAGGTCAAGAGCATAGCGGGGCTGGAATTCATGATAAATAATTTCGATTTTATCCTGACGCGTGTTTCATCGACGGACATAAATTAATTTTTATGACGGTACACGGTAGTTTTAACGAATTTCAAGTAATATCTATTAAATCGCATCACCTTCGGTGGCTAACGTTCCGATGACAACGCCACATTAAAATCCACAAATATTTATACTATATAGTCATAATACGCGTATACATGACAGGTACGAACAATGGAGCGATAAAATGGCGCGATTGTCGAGACTCGATTAAGAATACCAACACGAATATTTTTGTAATCCTGCCACTTTTACGGTTATCAAATTATTTTACGGTTAATTATTATTTTTCAAATTTGCAGAATTTTATAATTTTAAGAAATGCTTCGAAAGAATGTTGAGAATTACATTTTCATGCAAACTGAATTAAAAAATATTTTCAATTGCTTAAATAATTTTTATCGATACTTAAACAACGACTTAACCATGTTTATCTTTTGTTAAATAAATATTTCTGGATACTTGAATATTTCTGCTCGATAATATTCATATATTACCAGTTTTCTAAAAAGGTGGTAGACAAGGGTTAATTTTAAAGTGACTGCAAAAATTAAGTCTACTGGTACAGTCCCTTATTTACAGTGACTATTACATTTTTGTATTTTGTCAAATTGCAAATTTCACATATGACGAAATTATTGAAAATTTAATTCATGATCCATAATTATAATGTCCTACTATGATCTCTTAAAATGTTGCAAATTTACAATACTATATAATTATCTTTCGAATAAATTTTTTCAAATGAAAGCAATTATTTATAGGTTTTTTATCATAATTACTTGAGAGTATTTAACAATGTATTTCGTCGTAAAATTGCAAAAAATCATGTAAGGAAAGGTTATCCTATTTTTGGAATAATTATTATAATACATATCTTAACTCAATATTGTACGAATTCTCAACAGAACAAATATTTTGTTACTAAATATGATAACAAATAATTATTTACTTTCTTTTTGAAGTTCATTAAATGAAGTTTATTATTGATTTTGCAGATTCTCCGTCCATAGAAAGAAAATTTGAACTGTATCTAAAAAACTTGTCAAGTACAATGTCAGATATTGTTTCGTGCGTTTTTTAATGACTAATTACCAGCCAGTCAAGTATTCGCTGCGCATTTCTATGATGATCGATTCGTGTGCCAACACCGGTGAAAGAAAGTTCAAGAAAAAGGGACAAACAAGTGAGTAGTTTTAAAAAGGAGCGTGTTCACACATGTACGTCAGCCACAATGGCGACGTTAGGGGTCGTGATGTATATACGAACTGGTACACGTCGATTCCGAGGAGACGTGCGCGGACGCGAAGGAGGCACACAAAGAAAGAAAGAGAACAGTGGAAAAACTCCTTTTCATTCCGTGGAAAAAAGAAAGCGGGCGCGAGATTCGCGCTTCATTCATGGCCAACGTCTATGGGGCGAAAAAACGACTTCTCCTACGAAATGTAATTAGCATGTCTTCGCACAAATGGGCCAGACAATGCTGTCGTTTAATTAGTATGCGTCTCCGTGGCCCGAGTCCGTTCCTTTCCACACCCCCGGTCGTGATCATGTGTCCTTTACCCTCTTGCGTGTCGTACATGATATACACACACGCACACACACTTGTCGCGGAATGCATCAACCAACCGTGCGTGTATGTGTGTTGACGTATCGCACGTTACTGCACACCGCACGAGTGTCAATACGTCCGTTCACGACCACGTGTATGTGCGTGCTATTATCGTACACAGAAACCATCTGACCCGTCATCGAGACCTTCTGAAAGAATTTTTGTATTGCAAATATAGAGTGTTTCCAAATTTTTTTCTGATAGCTCCATGTGGATTTCTGTTAACGGTTTTGTTAACAGGGATTTCGCCGTTTTTCGACGGACACAGGAACCGGTTTTTACTGCAAAAGTTGTCAATAGAATTGTACAGCAAATTTTTTTATTTGTTTATTGGGATGTTATGGGGGATAAGATATACTATATCGATTTCGATGATTTTGTTGCGTGGTGTAAACTTGTTGATGAATTTGGAAATACCAATTTTCAGTCTGCGAATTTTCGGGGTTCGAATTTTTTTTAGTTCGATATTTGAAAATTTAGAAATTTATAAAATTGCTAACTTGGAAATTTAAGAACTTGAGAATTTAAAGATTTTTAAATTTTGAAAATGAAGAAATTAAGAAATTTGGAAATTCTAAAAGTTGAGAATTTAGAAATCTAGAATGTATAAAATTTTCAGTTTCTCAATTGTGAAATTGACTTTATTCGATATTGCAAACTTCGGAGGGTAGTTATACCCTTATAAATATTTTTTCTTCTCACGAAAAAAGTGCATGTTTTTTTTGGTCTATTATCACATGCTATTATAAAGAAAAAAACAAATCGGAGGGAACATCTGGTATATTTTTTTTGTCAGTTTCAAAAGAGGTATAATCCGATATTAAGTCTTCATTTGTAGATAAACATGTATGTATAGGAAATATGGAGATCAACTTCGTTTTTTCTTTCAAAGGAAAAATATCTTTCTTTTTAACATATAAATACTTCATAGTATCTAAGGTAAAAAATGATTAAGTCATAATGTCACAAAAGTCAGTAGCTCATAAAACCTTTTAATTTTAAACGCGAGGTATTTGATGCAGCAATCTAACATTGTCGTCGTTCAATGAGTTCTATGGGTGTATATTATATACATTATTAAATTGTACAGATTTGTTGAAAATAATAAATATATAGAACAAAAACGTGTTATTTTATAACATATAAAATAGAAATGTAAAAAAAGTATTTTGTAAAATGTAAAATAAAAATAATTTAAATAAAATAATTATTTTAAAAAAATGTAATACAACAGAAATCTGTAGTATAACATAAGTCTTCAAGAATCAGATAATTGTTTGTTACTTTAATATTTAAATTTTACGATTTCCTTTTAATCTAAAATTGTAGTTCAATGTCAAAATTATTTAGTGGATTTTACATCTACAGAAACATGAAAATTCATTTATTTTAATATTTTTAATTAAGAAGCATATTGTTAAAATAACAGAAAGTATAATCATTAACACACTATACATGTATATACTTGTACATTCTATACATTCATTATATTTTACCTTGTATAGTTGTATATTTTATGTGCTTGCATATTTTATATTTCTATTCTATATTTTCCTTTATATATTTTAACATGTAACCAATAACAATAGTTAGTATCTCCCAAATGATCAAAAGACCACCAAATACGCATCATCCAACGAATTCCACAAGGTGATCCCCACAAATTTCATAAATGACCGAGCGTAACAATTAAGGTGACTTTTCCATAACAGAATTTTCCCTATTTGTCCGTCCAAAGAGCAAACATAACGAGATGTATAAATTCGCTGAACGAATTCAGCGATAAATTCGTTTTAATGTTTTAATGTTTCTTTCGACGATGGTCGATCCCGTGAACAGGTTGTTCCCACGGTTCGAAGACTATGCTTTAATGGCAGACTCAAGCTGCTAGATGCGTGACGTGACTATGACGCATTAACGGGACGACAGGTCGATTCGCAATTACCGTGCGAGAATCCGCTCGCATCCTCGAGACAATTGCAGAGGGTGACGAAGGACACCAATTGCCGCGTAGCCAACGACAGAAAGCAACGCGACTTCCGGGATGGTAATATTCAGCGTCAGATGGAGCAGCAGTACGCGATCGTGTGTGATAAGCGGCAGCATTATCAAAGAAAAATAGAGAAAAAACGAAGGGAATGTCTTTTCAGGGAGGAACAGAGAGGAGGAAAGAAAGAGAGCGGCAGTAATCGGTTTCTGGTCGAAATGAATATTAAAAAACATATTCAATCCGTAATTTCATCGCGGTCTTTCGAATCTTTCCGCTCGAGTGCCGTTTCGTTCGAGTGCTCCTTTCAATGGGGACGCATTGTTTGAAACGTAAAATGTTGAGCACCAGAGTTTTACTTTTATTACCGACGTTTTTTCGAAATTAGTTTCGGAACGATCGTCGAGATAATTTAATGGTATTTCATGGTCTACGCTGCGCCCGGGGGGAAAAAAGGAAGAAGATGAAGAAGAAGGAAAGAAAACGCGATTAAAAGCCGTTCGGTTTTTTTTTCGAATCGCGATTTCGTCCGCCTCGTTCGAATCTATCGTTAATATTATATCGTAGTGCATACATCCGCCGTACAGCTTTCAATTAAATATCGAATGTTATTTTTTCCGTAGCCACCGTTCTACCAGCTTCCTTGCGCGATATATTCGTTCTCGAGAGTGGAACGGATACTACGTCGCAGTGTAATCAAGCTCTTTTAGACATCCTTCCTCCTTGATAACTATGGCCTACCTCCGACGATCTGTCACGGAACTGCGTGACATTTAGATCAACTTTTATAAGAATTTTCCAATAAGGTCACCAGAATATTCTCTTTTATCTTTTTATTCGATTCTCTGTTATCGTGGTTAGAATAACCTTTCCCATTTTTTTACTTCATTCTCTTTTATTATATCTAGTCATAACTAGAATTAATCTGTTCCGCTAATGATTTGGAAAATATCAGATTCGTTATTTAAATATCAAATTTAATTCATTATAATTGTAGATACGAATTTTTCATTTCGTGGTATTTAAATATTTATCTTTGTGTCGTAACGTATATGGTTATTATTAGACATGATAAACTATGATTTTTCAAAAATAGTTACTTTTGGTAATTTGGCAATTTGGCGATCTGATAATTTGGTAACTGAAAGATTACCGTCACTTACAAAGTTAAACAATTTTCTGTAAATCCGTTCAACATACTATTAACAAAAT